TGCCCAGGCCCTCAGGACCAGCTGAGGGAGGGCATGGGGTGAGAGGTCACTCCCCACAGCACCCCCTGGCAAGTCTGCACGTGGTCCCTACAGTCTGCAGGGCGTGTGCAGAGCCAGGCGGGGCAGGGAAGTGGGGGACAGGCTGCAGCACGAGGACACCACACTGTGTAGCCAAACACAGGGCTGTGAGAGGCGCACAGAGGGGCATGTGGTGAAGGCGCCGTGTGGGAAGGATCTGGGGAGGGGGGGCCCGGCAACCTGGGGCCCGTGGGGATGGACAAAGACGAGCATGCCACGCTGAGGAGTCTGGACAGGATCCTGGGGCCACTGCAGGGACCGAGGGGAGCAGAGGAGGCCCCCCCCTCCCCCGCAGAGAGGAGGAAGGCTGAAGAAACCCCCAGGGGTCTGGGTTTCTCTGGACAAGCCTGTGGAAATGCAGCTGGTGGGTTTGGGGTCAGTGGCAGAGGGCCCGTCCCTGGGCCGTCCTGGGCAGCCTCTCCAGTTGTGAACCCACAGAGAGGCCCCGCAGGAGCGTCAGGCTCTGAAACACGAGGACACATAATGTCCTCTCCAGCCCTGCATCATTCCGGCTCTCCCTCCCTCAGGAGGGGCCCAGATCCTGCCCTTCCCTCTTTCACCTTGCAGCTCCTGTCCAAGAGGCGGCCACAGGAGGCCAGCACCAGAAGAGGACACTGGGTGAGAAGCCCCGGACAGTGGGAGGGGATATGGACAGGGGGCAGGCGCCAGGGCATCTGTCTCTCCCGGGGGGCCTTCAGCAGCCCACCAGGTGGCAGCCTCAGGGCTCCGTTCAGAGCCGTGCTAACAGGCCCCAGCAGGGGGCGCCATTGACCCACACTTGCCGGAAGGTTCCTTCTGCCTTTCGGAGTCCCCATCTCCGCACCAAGGGACTAAGACTCAGGGGCTGCAAGATGTAGCCCCTTCCAGGCGTTGGGCACAGGATGCTCCACAGAGAAGCAGGGCCTGAGTCCAAGCAAGTCTGCGTAGGTCTGAGTAGGGCAAGGCTCAGCCAGCTGAGGTCCGGGCACCCCTTCCCGGCCCAGCACCAGAGCCCCAGCTGCACCCACATGCTGCCCACCACACGGAGGGGGGTTCTTCCTTTACTGCCTGCCCCATGAAGAGGGGGCCACTGCCCCACCCCCACCCCACGGTGACAGCTCCGTCCCCACGTGCGCAGGCCTGTCACTGGGTGTCGGGGTCTTGGAAGCCCCAGGCCTCCACGGCAGCGATGAGGAAGTTCTCAGAGCAGAGGGGCTGGTTGTTGAAAGTATCGCAGTGGCCAGTGCGGCCCCGGTTCAGGTCCCCATCGATGTAGAGCGCTTGGCCGCCCCCTCCACCTGTGGGATGCTGGGGTCAGCATCTGTCCCTCTGTCCAGCACTGCCCCCTAGAGGCTCTCCTCCTGCTCCTCAGCAGCCCCGCTTGGATGGGGACCCCGCCCCAGCCCTGCCAGAGACTTCTCTAAAACCACAGGGCTGGCCTTCAGTACCCCTGGCTGGGGCCCCCACCGTGCACCCTCTGATCCCCGCTCCCACCCCTGCACCCACTCCAGCCCCAACAGTCCCGGCTCTCTTCCTCTGCCTGTCCCTCACATGAGGCACCCGCCATGGCAGGGGCTTCGGTTCCCCCCACGACTTCGCACCCATCTCCTGGGCTACGTGACCGAGGGCAGGGAGGAGCCCAGCCTGGAGTGCGGGGAGGCGCCCACCTACGATGAGGCAGTCGTTGCCCCCAGCCATGAACATAGACTCGGTCTTGGAGGGCAGGTTGAAGTGCCGCGCGGACAGGAAGGGCGAGAGGCGGTCGGCAGGGTCTGAGGATGTGGGGCGGCCGAGAGGGGATGGAGCGGCAGCAGCCTCCAAGGACACTGGCTTGGTCAACTCCGGGTGTTTGATGACCACCCACTCGTAGCGCTGGACCTCAGGCTGCAGCTGAGGGCACAAGGGCAGCGTGAGTCACAGGCACACGCCCCCCACCAATCTTTATCGGGGCCCGGGCCGGGGAGCCGACTGCACCGGGCAGACGAGGCTCGCCTGTCGATGGATCACAAACAAGAAGGACGTGGGGAGGCACTCTGTGGGGGGAGCACCAGGAGGAGTGGGAGGCAGGGTCTCCTGAGCAGGGCCCCCAGCCGGACACACTCACCCTGAACACGAAGCACTCTCCCGTCCCAAAGAAGCCCACTTTGCCTCCAAATTTGTTCCTCTCACTCCAGTCTGTTGACAGGTAAGCCCCACACACCTGGGGAGAAAGGCCGGTGGTGTGAGGCTGTGCCCCACCTGCAGGAGCACCCTCGTTCAGAGCCTGCTGGGGACCACCCCCTCACCCCCCAGGGTGGTCACCGATAGGGGGCGCTGTTGGTGTGCCCGAGGGGAAAGGGTGGAGGTGGACAGTGGGGTGGGGAGGTCAGAGTTTGCAGGGCATGGGGCGGGCGGTGAGGGTGGGTGGGTGGCTGCCTCCGCCATCATCAGCGTGTTTGGGATATTTCTGTTTCCCTCCTTGGCCCTCAAGCATGGGAATGAGCCCACTTCCACACTCTGACTTTGGGCATCAACCCCAGGGATGCCCCTTACACAGAAGCTTCTGAGAGGTGACCCTGCTCGAGAATGTTCCCTAACCTCCAGCCAGCCAGCAAAGTGCCGACTCAGTCCTTGGAGGGGCTGCAGGCAGCGTGGCTGCAGGCTTTGCCTGAAGCGTCTGACAGTGAGTCACCTGCTAAAGTGCAGACGCCCAGGCTCCTCCTGGAATCCCAGACACGGAACCCGGAACCGGGTGAGGAACCTACCACTCCCGTGGGTGCAGGTGTGGGAGCCACAGAACCAGGAGCCTCTACCGCGTGCACACGCCCCTAGGATGGGGGCACGTGAGTTCCGACTTCCCTGGGTGCCTCAGAGCACTTAGCAGAGGACAGGGCCCTGAGAGTCGCCTGTCATGGGTGGAGGCAGGGCCCTGCTCACGGGGTATTTGTGCAGGGCTCGCTCCTTGAAGCCAGGCTCTGTGCCACCAGGCTGCTCAGCAGGGGCCTGGAGCCCCCCAGGGAAGCGGGAGGCCCTGGGTGGTTGGGGGTCAGATGGAGAGGCTGGATTCACCTCTCTGTGGAGGGTGGGCTCCACTCTGCGCCCCTAAGAGAAGGAAGCCTGGGTGGAAGCTTCAGGGGGCACCCCCACCCCCGCCCCAAGGCTCATTAGTGGCAAGGGCCTCTCCTCACCTCCTTTTGCGTGGTCTTGATGAGCAGGAGGGTGGGCTCATGTCCTTCACACTGGAAATAAAACCTGGGGGCAAAGACCACACATGCCAGGCTTCCATCCCACCTCTGTGCCACCTCTGGCCACAGCAATCTGGCACCCAGAGCATCTGAGAAGCCCAGGCTGTCTGGGGGAGACGGGTCTGGGAACTGTGCTTCCTCATCTCCTGGGGACCAGGTGTGGTGGCCAAGGACCCGGCAGCACCCTGGCCCAGGCATTTCTTAGCCAAGACGGGGCCCGGGCCTGGCAGCCTCAGGGCCGAGCAGTCAGCTGGCCAGGACCGTCAGCGCTGCTGCAACGTGGGGAAAAGCTGCATGACGGCCCTCAGCGGGCACAGCCACGTGTCAGGAGCTTCAGGGAAGCAAAACCCGAGGAACCTGCTCTCGGAAAGCTCACAGGTGCTGGGGCGGGGGGGGGGGGGGGGGGGGGGGGGGGGGGGGCCTGAGCCTGTGGGTCACAGAGTGCACGAGGAGGCTGGACACAGCATCCTGGTGGCACCAAGTGCCCGGAGCCTTCATGGCATCCCTGGTGGCCCAGCCTGGCTGTCCCACAGCAGGCCTCCCACACAGCACAGAGGCAGGGACCAGGTGAACGTGTCTTTAGCTATGCTGTAACAGTCATGTGGGCTGGGACAGCTCTGCCTATGTCACCTCTGCGGGGTCACCTGTGACCTGAGCCAGAAGCTCCTGAGGCGACCTGCCATCTAAGGCTGACTGGGGCCGAACCTGGCAGAGCTGCCTCGAGAGGCAGGGACACCCCGGACTCAGCTGTGGACCAGCCAGGTGGGGCTTGGGCAGCAGGGGCCCAGGGCCTACCGCCACAGGTCTTCCTGTGCTAGGATGAAGTTCCTGTGTGGGGGTTCCACCTCCCAGGGTCATCACACCTACACAGGAGCCTGGATTAGTGCTGTGTATTCAGGGCAGCGACCCCTGAAGTCTGGGTGGCCGGGGAGCAGGAGAAGCCCAGAAAAAGGGGCTCTCAATTCTAAGGCCCCTGAGGAAAAGGCAGGTAGATCCCAGGGCCCATCCCCAGACACTACCCACACTTCCGGGGTGTCTCCACGGCTTGCTCCATCCTCCCATGTGTCAGGCCCTTGGAGCCCGTGCCTTGGGCCGCTGCCGGGCTCCCGGGTGTTACCTGGTCAGGCTGTACCCGTGCTGCAGCGAGGAGAAGAGCAGGAGGGGCTGGCAAAGGGCAAAGCGCTCAGGGACCCACGACCAGATGTCTCTCATCTCCTTCACACTGACGATCTCTGAGTGGAAGTTCTCCGCGTGCACCGCCAAGTGCACAAACTGCCTGGGGAGAGTGGGGAGGGCTCAGAATGCAGCCCTGACCACGCCCTGGCCACGCCCCCCGCCCGGGAGCGTTGCGGAGCCTCGCGCATGAGCTATGCCTGAAGGGGGCTTCTCTGCTATTCCCGAGGAAACGAGGAAACGAGGAAACGGGACTGGGGGAATGGCGCTGAGCCCTGGAGCCCCGCTCCCATCAGCTACAGAGGGGAGAGCACTCAACCTGGGTGGGGACAGAAGCACGTCTTCTCTAATGAATGGGGACACAGAGTGAGCCAGCTCTGACAAGACAATGCTTCAGAGCCAGCCAAGCACGGACAGACAGCATGTCTGAGGCAGCTGAGCAGACAGACAGACAGACAGAGAGCTTGAAGAGCAGCCAGGGTTTAAGGCAGCATTGCCAAACCCAGCCCCAAGAGCCAGAGAAAGCAGCTGGGCCCTGGGATAGCCAGGACGGGAGATGGAGAAAAGCCAGGAATGAAGATATGGTTTCCAGACCTACCTTTTAGAAAGTGAAACACTGAAAAACAGGGGGAAGCAACGGACACAGAGAAGAGGAAGAAAAATAAAACAGACAAGGACAGGTTAGTGGCAAATACTGATGGCCAGGACGAACCTGCCTTTGGCCCAGGAGAAAGGCCTCCACACCAAGGGCACGGTCATGCCGAGATGGTGTTGGGACACCGTGGGCCCCTCCCAGCCTGGCTTCCCAGGGGCGGTACTCAGGGCAGGGGGACATACCCAGCAGCCGCAAGAGCAGCCGGCAAGGGAGCACAGACCCCAGATGGGGGACAGAGCAGGGGCTGCTTTAAAATGATCTGAGGCAGTCAGCCGGGCCCACCGCCAGACCTTCTGACTCCATGGTCAGCATCCAGCGTCCATCTCCGCCACCGGCCTTGACCCTGAAGGCAGGACCCTCCCTGCACCTTCTGTACCCGCAGCTGTCTGAGCAGCCCGTGGCTGTAGCCAGAAGGCCCCCTCCTCACTCCCATGGCTTCCTATCCACGCAGGGCTGGCTGCCAGGAGGCAGACCAGGAGCCTGGCAGGACTAGCTCAGGCCCCAGCCGCCAGGACGCATCCCACCTACGCCCTACCCTAGTGGGTCCCTCACCTACCCAGGGGCGGGCCACACCCAAGGCCCCAAGGGGCCTGCCTACCTCTTCTGCTTGACGGTGATGCCTTTCTGCTTCAGAGCTTTCTCGTTGGCCATCTGCAGGAGCTGAATCTCCTTCCGGGAGAAGAGGCGGATGGCAAATGCTTTCTCCAGCAGCTTCTCAGGAGACACGGTCTTGGCGATATCCCTGACGAAGGTGCGAATGTCCTGCTTCACGCTGTCTGACTCGAGCGGCTGCCCAGCCCTCACCTTGTGGAAGAACTTGAGGATCGCCAGCGCCACGCGGTACAGCACCTTGTAGCCTTCCACCAGGAACACGTCGAAGACGCGGGCGAAGTGGCCGAGGGGCAGCTCCCCGAACAGCCAGCGCTGCCAGTCCGCGTAGACCTGCAGGACGTCCTCTGACACGGCCACCATCAGCTTGTGGGCCGCCTGGCAGTACTTGTTCACCAGGTCCCCAAACGTCATGCAGGAGGACTCGAAGGCCAGGAAGCTCTGATCCACCAGCTTCCGGCTGGGGTCATTGCAGGCCAGGATGCGGCAGGCATTCTCAAAGCACTGGGCCTCGTCCGTGCTGTAGTGCAGCAGCAAGGCCACGACCGCGGGCAAGGCGGGGCAGAAGGACACGTCGGGGAACTGGTTGGCGATGCACAGCAGGATCTTGCGCACGGCATCCTCGCCCCGCGCGTTCAGGCAGTAGCTGGGCACCTGAGTGTTGTCCACAAACTCGGGCAAGGGCAGGCTGCTGCTGCTGTGCTTGCCCACGATCTTGCCCACGATGTCGCTGTATACGCTGGCGTCCGGTGTGACCGTGCGGCAGGGGATGTCCCGGATCAGGCGCTGGTACACCTTCCCCCGCAGGGCGTAGCTGCGGGCCCAGTAGCCCTGGCGAGCCAGCTGCTTCAGCTCCTGCGGCTCGGTGCAGCTCAGCTCCTTGGGGCCCAGGTCCTGCACGGCCGCGTCCATCCTGTCTCTGTCCACAAAGCAGTTGTAGCCCGGGGGATCCATGGTGCGGGGCGCCCAGCACGGGGATCCCAGGCTGCCGGGAGAGGCACGGAGCAGCTAAATCCCCCAGCCCCGTCTCCTAGGCTTTGCTGCTGACCTCTTTGCCATCCTGTACCCTGTCGGATTGAAAGTCAGGCTTAATGTACGCATAGGTTATCTATTAACCATATACGACAGTTCACATTTTTTTTAATTTTTTTAATGTTTTTATTTATTTTTGAGACAGAGAGAGACAAAGCATGAGCAGGGGAGGGGCAGACAGAGAGGGAGACACAGAATCCGAAGCAGGCTCCAGGCTCTGAGCCATCAGCACAGAGCCTGACGTGGGGCTCGAACTCACAGACTGTGAGATCGTGACCTGAGCCGAAGTCGGATGCCCAACCAATTGAACCACCCAGGCGCCCCGAAAGTTCACATTTTAAAGAGCATGTTTTTATTTTCATTTTTCTATAAAGTATTAGGAGGGCTTCTACTTAAAACAAGTGGAGGGGCACCTGGGTGTCTCAGTCGGTTAAACACCTGATTGTTGGTTTCAACTCAGGTCATGATCTTGCGGTTTGTGGTTTCGAGCCCTCCGTCAGGCTCTGTGCTGACAGCTCGGAGCCTGGAGCCTGCTTCGGATTCTGTCTCCTCCACTCTCTGTTCCTTTCCTTGTTAGCTCTCCCTCCCGCCCTCTCTCTCTCTCTCAAAATACACAAACATTTAAAGAAAAACAAGATGAGTGGATATTTTGAGAAGTCACTATGAACTCTGGAGTAGAACTTCTTTTCATGCAGTTACTGGAGTAGATCACACAGATTCTGAGTAATGAGAGCCTAAGGCTCAGATCCCAGAAGGGCTAGGCCAGCCAGATCCTGCTGAAGACAACTCTCTGCCGGGTGTAGGCGGGCCCCCCAGCCCTCCTTCCCCCCCAACACCGCGGCGGGGGGGCTCGCTGGACAGGAGCACCCCAGCCAGTTAAAAGCTGCCCAGTGTCTACTCCCTAAGGCTCCGGGCCTCTGCAGCTGCGCCGAGCACGGCACCACACAACTGCTCTGCCCCACCCGCCCTGGGTCAGAAGCCACAGGCAAGCCCTGACCTTTCTAGAAACGCCAGCTGAGTTTCAGGTAGGCCTTCCAGAGAAGACTTGCTGTCGGGGAGTAAACGGGAGGGCTGAGAAAGAAACAGAAGGTGTCACTGCTTCAAAATTAAGACATTTCTGGGTCCACAGGAGCCAGAAGTATCACACTGGGGGGTCTGGTGCTGTCTCTCCATTACGGGAAACTAGTGAGATCCAGGCGGACGTTGCACACAGGGAAGGTGTGCTGACACACCCAAGAGCAGCGTATGCCCACACACCTCAGACTAGCCTTTCCGCCTGGGACAGTACAGGGTCCAGAGACGTCATAACGGTTTGCTTCAGCAAGTTTCAGTAGATGGCCAGATCATTCCAGTTTCTCCTGCATCTGTAACATTCATCTGAAAATACAAAAAGGAAATAATACCTTAAAAACGTGGAGTGGAAATTAAAGAATTATAGCCTAAAAGCTGTATATGTGAGAAGCCCCTCGGTGCAGTGTGGTTTTTCTCACTGTGGGAAAACATATGTAGAATTACCAGGGTAACGGTCTCTGAGCCTACGGAACCGTGGCAGGAAGCGCAGTCACACTGTGCCCTCACCACCACCGTGCCAACAACTCTTTCGTCTTCCCAGCTGAAACTCTGCCCCCAGGACGCATGGACTCCCCCTCCCCCAGCCCCTGGAGCCCACCCTTCTCCTTTCTGTCTCTACCAAGGCAACAACTCTAAGAATCTCACAGAAGTGAAATCACACACATTTGTCATTTTGTGACTAGCTTATTTCACTGAGCATAATGCCTTCAAGGTTCATCTAGGTTACTTTTTTTCAATTTTTTAAAATGTTTATCTGTTTTTGAGAGGGAGAGAAAACAAGTGAGGGAGGGGCAGAGAGAGAGAGGGAGACACAGAATTCTAAGCAGACTCCAGGCTCTGAGCTGTCAGCACAGAGCCCCATGAGGGGCTCGAACCCACGAACCATGAGATCATGACCTGAGCTGAAGTCAGACACTCCGACTGAGCCACGCAGGCACCCCGATTCATTTACGTTTATAGCATGCATGTATCAGGATTTTTTTTTTTTTTAAGATTATTTTTTAGAGCAGTTGCAGGTTCACAGAAAAGTTGAGAGGAAGGTACTGAGATTTCACACATACCCGCTCCCTCGTCAACACCCCCCAGGGGAGTGGGGCATCTGGTCCAATGAGAAACCTGCATTAAAACATCATCATCACCTAAAATCGGCAGATTCATGAGGGTCTGCTCCCGGTGTGCATTCTAGGAGTTTGGACAAATGTGTAATGACACATATCCTCATTACAAAATCATACAGAGTAGTTTCACTGTCCCAAGATACCTCTGCACTCCACCTACGTGTCCTGCCCCCCCATTTACCAGAATTTCATTCCTTTTTATGGCCAAATAATACTCCATTTTGTGACCAGAACACATTGTGCTTACCCACTCATCTCTGAGTGGACACGGGCTGCGGCCACCTCCTGGCTATTTGTTGTAAGTAACACTGTGAACACCGGGTGCCCGGGTCTGGTGGAGTCCCGGCTTCTGGCTCTTTTGGATACGTATCAGTTGACACTGCTCTTTATGTATTTTTTTTAATGTTTACTTATTTTTGACAGAGAGAGCGAGCATGAGTGGGGGAGGGGCAGAGAGGCAGACACAGAATCTGAAGCAGGCTCCAGGCTCTAAACTGTCAGCACAGAGTCCGATGTGGGGCTTGAACCCACAAACTGTGAGATCATGACCTGAGCCGAAGTCAGACGTTTAACCCACTGAGCCACCCACGTGCCCTGACAATGCTCTTTTTTTCTTTTTAACTTGTCTTATTTTTTATTTTTTAAAATTTACATCCAAATTAGCTAGCATATAGTACAACAATGATTTCAGGAGTAGATTCCTTAGTGCCCCTTCCCCATTTAGCCCATCCCCCCCCCCACAACCCCTCCAGTAACCCTCTGTTCTCCATATTTAAGAGTCTCTTCTGTTTTGTCCTCCTCCCTGTTTTGATATTATTTTTGTTTCCCTTCCCTTGTGTTCATCCCTTCCCTTGTGTTTCGTCTCTTAAAGTCCTCATAGGAGTGAAGTCATAGGATATTTGTCTTTCTCTAATTTCGCTTAGCATAATACCCTCCAGTTACATCCACGTAGCTGCAAATGGCCAGATTTCATTCTTTTTGATTGCCGACCAATACTCTGTTGTACATTATACCACATCTTCTTTATCCACTCATCCATCCATGGACATTTGGGCTCTTTCCATACTTTGGCTATTGTCGATAGCGCTGCTATAAACATTGGGGTGCATGTGTCCCTTCGAAACAGCACACCTGTATCCCTTGGATAAATGCCTAGTAGTGCCATTGCTGGGTCGTAGGGTAGTACTATTTTTAGTTTTTTGAGGAACCTCCATACTGTTTTCCAGAGTGGCTGCACCAGCTTGCATTCCCAGCCCCATCACTGCTTTTATAGGAGCTTCCCCATAGGGAAGATTAACTAAGGTTTTGTGACAACACCCATTTACCAGGTCCCAGCGGAAGCGCCTAGTCCACAGCAGGAAACTAAGGTTTTGTGACAACACCCATTTAACACATCCCACAGCAGGACCTCATCCACAGCAGGACCCTGTGTGGGGCTGGGCTGGAGTTTCCCTGCTCAGAAGAAAGGAAGCTTTAATGGGAGCCTGGGTGGGTCCTAGATGGGAAAGTAGCCAGGGGCACCCCCTCCTCCCCAGGCCCTGAAGGTTGGGCCTATGTGAACCCCCAGAGCCACACCCAGGCTGCACCCCACAGTCCCCATGTGCAAACTACCTATACTTTTCGTATGTATGTATGTACTCATTCATTCAAAGTAATCTCTACACCCAGTGTGGGGCTCGAACTCACAACCCCGAGATCAAGACTCTTGCGACGGAGCCAGCCGGGTGCCCCACCTGTAGGGTTTCCATCCCTCATTCTAGGCTCTGAGCCCATTACCCTCTAAAGGGGACCCCAGGCCCTCCCTGTCTGCGTGAAAAGCAGCAGCTTCCTCTGGGGGCAATAAACATGTTTATGAACAGAACAAGATCCAGGCAGGACGGCACCAATCCTCATTCAACTGGCCTCACATCCGGGTTGAATATTAAACTGAAAACTCCAAAAACCATTATCGCACCTACAAAGTTCCTTCAGAAGGACCTTCAGCGAGAAGCAGACAAAGCGTTACAGCAAGTAACCCAGGGACACTCTGGATTCAGGGTCTCCGAGGCAAGGACGTGTTCAGGAGACCCCGAAAGTGCTCCCTGGACCCCCACAGGCCTCCTCCTAAGGTCCCCACCCAAAAAGAGACCTTGGCATTTCTGGGGCTGGGCAAACAAGGTTTGCGGTGACATCTTCAGGCATCTGTAAGACCAGCTCCAGGGTCGTTTCCTTAGTTGTTGTTTTTAAACAAAAAAGGCAAATAATACGAAATTACAGAACAAAAATGTCAAGTCCTGTTTCAGCTATCCCCCCAACTGTCCCTGCTCTTGTACCTGAAGAGAATCACTACTCACATTTTAGTGCCTATCGCGCAAAGCCCTTTCCTTAGATTGACAGATACACTCATTCACAGCCAGGCTTGCTGCTGGGAGGGAGAAGCCAGAGGGCAGGAGACAGACCAAAAATTTAAAATCATCGAGTCGAACATCACCCTCTGGAGGTCAGCTTTGGAGCTGCTGCACCCCCTCCGCAGGGACCCCTCCCCATGCCCCCCTGCACCTGTGGCTAACCCCCCTTCCCCCTCCCCACAGGAACCAGGCCACACCTGCTCCCCACGCTTCCACATCCCTTCCACGTCCCCCATCTGTACCCGGCAGTCAGGGGCAGAGAAGGGAGGCAGGAGCTAACGCAGAGACCATCCGGTTTTCGGTCAGTCAGGCCTGCCTTCCAAGTCCAGCTTTGGCGCTTGTTTGC